CTTAGATTTGAGGTGGGAACCTCACCCACACAAAAGTATATACAGACAGCAATACTTACTAAAATATTCTACCAGGAAATGGGGTTTTTGTGAAAAAAAAACTTGATTCTCCATAATGTGTAATGCTACAGTTGCGTGAGTACAAATATACTGCCCTTGTGATGTAAGTGTACAGTGACTTCTTATACTGCCAAAACTCCAGTGACTCTTGTACCACTTATTACTCAGAGCTGGATCTTGAACTTTGTCCATGAGGCAGGGCTGTTGTGATTTCCAGCATCCTCATTAACTGATACTGCATCACTGGAAGCCCTTTCCAGGCTTGTGAAATACTTGCAAGGGTCAGGATTGGGCTGTGGAGGGTTTGTGGAGGGAAGGTGGTTAAACAAAATTGCCTGCTAACTTGAGCCACCAGTAACCACGAGCAGGGTTTGTATTTTAGCACTGCAATATTTGTGTGGTTCCCATTGCAATGCTGTCAGTCCCAGGTGGTGGGTGTGAGTTTAGGCTGTTTGTTCCTGCTGTCCTTTCTGCCTTAGCATAGAGGAAGAAGGTGCTGTCCCAGGCATGTTTGTAGTGTTGGGTCACTGGGTAATAAAATGGTTGCAAGTCTACATTTTTCTATCTGCAGGCATGAGCTCTAAGTTTGGCTTTGTGCCTGCTTTGGTTCTCAGTGGGGAACTGTAAGGAATGTGAAAGGTTACCAGTTATGATGAACCAGATATAGAAGGTTTAGATTCATTTTTTTTTCCAAGTCTTTTTGGAATATTTGTAAAGTTCACAGTTTAATATAGATTAGTGTGTGTAAAACATTTAATTTACAAATGCTTCTTTTTTTTTAAGAAAAAACCTGCTGTCTTACTATAATAATTTAGGTTACTGGATAACGTATAGGTCGTATTGTTAGAGGCTCTTTATTACACACATACACTTTGATCATCTTTCTCCTCATTGCATTTGAGCAATTAATTCTTAATGTTTTTGTCTGGTGGCAGGGAAGGGTAAAAACTTCTTATTAATATCCAGTTTTGATGTGGGTCAGGCACAGAACTGGAATGTAATCTCTATGTCTTAAAACCCATTTCAGTACATTAATAAATATACAGATTATCTTCATTAAACCAAAAATACCTGCATGAGCTTTTAGTTGTTTTAACCCAATTCCTCCTCCTCTGGCATCATGCATGTCCAATGTCAGAGCTGTTCTTTCTTTCTCTTTCCAGAAATGTCCTTCCTGCCTGACTTGGGGGCCTTCACCATGGGCATGTGGTCTGTTGGCCTTGGAGCCATTGGCGCAGCTGTGACAGGGATTGTCCTTGCTAACACTGACTTATTTTTGTCCAAGCCAGAAAAGGCCACACTGGAGTTTTTAGAGGAGATAGAGCTAAAAACTTTGGGACCAGGTAAGAATCTGGCTATTTCAGACCATGTTCAAAAATTGGACTTTTATAAGAACCTTTCTAAGGCTAGGGCTGGAAGCAGTTTTCTCAGTCTTCCCTAATGTACTTGAGTGTCCTTGATATCCAATACTTGTGGTGAAGGAAAAGCAACCAAAGCTGTTAATTCTGGATGAAACAAGACACACTTCCAAAAATCAATAATGCACTGATCTTATGCATACAGATTTTTGTTTTTTTTCTGTTAGAACTCTCTTTGAATGTGGAATTTTCTGTAGTGCTTTGTGTTGGTCCATAAAGTATTAATTGTTATAAACAAAATGGCTGATATTGTTGGTGTTGTTTCTCCTGTACAAACAGAACAAAGGACATTCAAAGCAGGTGAACTATGGAAGGAGAATGGTGCAGTGATCATGGCTGTACGAAGACCTGGATGATTTTTGTGCAGAGAGGTACTTGCTGGGCTTGGGGATTAATTAAGAAAAGTTGAGGTCTGATTGCATAGATAGTCTGTAAATAAAGGGAGGGGATGAACAGGACAGTCATCAAATACATCTAAAATAACTGCAAGGTTTTGTTTTATGGTTCAAACAGGTCACCAGCTACCAGCATACTTAGTTTCCTTTGTAGCTGTTTTGTATGGTCCAGGTCCTGAGCATTTTCCTTCTGAAGGTGATAGTTACATGAGTTTTACATCTGCCAGGGACCTAGCCCATGGTAATTAGAAAGGGAGATTGCACAAGATTCAGTTGGTAATGAGTCTTATGAGCTATTTATATATATATAGTCCAAAATAAGTCTCTTTGAGCCAGGTAGTCTCTGGTCAAATGCAGCCCAAGACTGGACTGGCAGAAAGCCATCAGATAAAGCTCAACTGCAAAAGCAGAGGTGTGCATAGAGTGAATATCTCTCTGTTCTGGGTGCTAAATGTTAGGCAGGAAGGTACAGAGTCTGGAGATAAGGAGTTCCTGTTCCTTAACAAGGTGGGCTGGAAAACAAATTTTGATCCTTAACTTAACATTGGGCTCCTTGGGTGGAGCTCCTTGGAAGCAGACACCTAAAATATAATTTGAATGTACCAAGTGCCTGGGAACAGCTATAGCTTACACCTAGGACATTATGTTTCTCATAGCTATAGGGAAAAATAGTTATTATATTGTTACTCACTGGTCTGTAACATGGAGTAATTAATATTATAACCTCTTCATTAAGGCATCTGCTCCCACCCCAGTAGCAACTGCTTAACTAGGTGTAGCATTCATGGAAGGTTTAAGAGCTTTGCTCTCTGAACAGGTGTAGCGTAGGTGGGAGGAGAATGCACTTACATGCCTGACTGTAACTTTCACACAGTCAGGAATCCAAGAGTGATTTTTTTATTAGTAGTAGTAGTATTACTGAAAGTTTCAATTTTTTCTGTCTGTTCATCACTGTTTCTCCTTGGTACTCAGTGTATATTCTAGATGTCCTGCAAGCCTTTCAGCTAAGGTATTTCACTTAGGTGACTGAGAGTGATCATGTAAAGTGTGTCCATGTTTTTAAAGCATGGAGTTAAGTGTTTTTGTGGGAATTCTGTCCAGTAGAAATGACCTTTCTCTATGGAAGATAGGAAACATATTTTCAGTGCACACTCTGATCAAAACCTCAGGGATTCTTGTACAAACTGTGGGAATTTGGATTCCTTTAGGAGAACAAAAAACCCACCAGATGAGTGGTGGCACCTTAGACACCAGAAAAAGCAGTTTTGCATCTGGGATACTGAAAGTCTATGAAGAAATACCCTGATTTTTTGTTACTGGAGGATTTAGGAAGGAGAGTCTATCTTCATTACTTACTTGAAGCTTGTATAGACTGCTCCTGCACAGAGTCTTCAAAATACTTTGCAGAAGGACTGATAATGATGGATGTCAACTTGGAAAAAGGATTTAAAATCTGAAAAAGTTAAATGATGTGCAGGCATTATTTTTATATCATTCTAAAATACTTCAAAAGATAATTGAAGCCCTATTACAGGCAAGGTATATCTACAGCTCTAATTTAAAAATATGTTTTATCCAGTAAATGCTCAGAAGAATCTTCTTCCTCCATGTTTAACAAAGGAAATTGTAGTAAATCTGATGAAGAGCTGCCTAAGAGTACAGCTAGCTTAAATGTTACAAGTCTATTTCTAGTCTGAATTCTCAAGCTAGAATTTGTGTGTTTGTGATGGTCTTGAAATTCAAGGTGAAGCTTTCCAACCTCCATTTATTGACTGAAATGTTTGGGGCTTTTTCCTTTGCTTAGGAGGCTTCTGAGCTCTCCTCTCTGAAACCCCAGCTGTCCAAGCTGGGTGTCCCTCTCTATGCTGTTGTGAAAGAGAAGATAGGGACCGAAGTGGAGGATTTTCAGCATTATTTCAAAGGAGAAATCTTTCTGGATGAAAAGGTATAGTGAAGCTGGTGTTCTCCTTTTGTTTAAAATCAAATCTATGAATGCCCTCTTTGAGGAGCTTGTATAAATAAGTAGAACGTAGTCTGAATAAAAAGGGATTTAGTAGCACTGTAGTTTAAGAAGTTAATTGGCTTTGTTTTTCTATATTTATACATCCTGCTGAGCTTACAAACTGCAGTGTAACTATGCACTGATAATGCACTCTTGCAGGATTATTCCACCCCTTTAACAGGTAAACAATATGGCCTGTTAATATTGATTCCTTTCTTTCACTGGCTGTGTGACTTGCTGATGTTTATGATGTGTGAATCAAGGTTTGAAGGTGACACATATAATTAATTCATGATGTACAGGCCAGATTACAGTGATATGGTTTATCCTGGGACACTGGCACATGCTGGATTGCTAATCTCATGTCCTGCAGAGCCACCGCCCTGCTTTCTCCCTAAACCAAGAGATACATTTAAAAATCATTTGGGTTCTGAAGAAAAAAAAATATGTAATACTCAGAATCTACTAGACAGTCTTTTATTTTCTCTCTCCCCACTGCCTGTGTGAAAGAATCAGGCTGAATTTAAAAAAACGCCAACAATCAACCGACCAAAAAATATATTTATCACAAAGGACTGCTGTTGTTTGCACTATGGATGTAGGTGCACATGAGGCTTAAGCACTTGTGGATGAGCTTAAAATCCACATGAATGAAAGGTCCTTTTCCCTCTGTTTGCTGACATATTTTCTGTTCCCCTGCAGAAAGGCTTTTATGGTCCACGCAGACGAAAAATGATGTTGTCAGGCTTTTTCCGCTTGGGAGTTTGGCAAAATTTCTTCCGTGCTTGGAGAAGTGGATATAGTGGAAATCTGGAAGGAGAAGGATTCACGCTGGGAGGTGTATATGTGATTGGGGCAGGAAGACAGGTACTGCAGGCCGTCTAGGAGGCTTTTATCTCTCGTATCAGATCAGAAGTTTGTTTCCTGGGATTGTTCGGTTGGGCAGTGGATCTTTTGCAGGGAGATGTGTCTGAATTTGTCTTTTGTGTCTTTGACTAGGGTGTTTTACTGGAGCATCGTGAGAAAGAATTTGGAGACAAAGTCAGCCTTCCATCTGTCCTTGAAGCTGCTGAGAAGATAAAAACACAAGCTTCATAAGTGGAAAAACAGTTGCACATGTTTCTGATTAGAGCTTGAAATGTAGAATGTATCCATGTCTTGAATGTATGGTGTAATTGCTCAACTATTTAGGGATCAATGCACATGAAAGGCTCTCTATTCAAACACAGAAAATTATGAAAATCCTCTTGGATTGTTTTTGGTTCCTTTGCAGTCCTCCAGGTGGCCAGGATTTTGACTGGTCCTTTGTATCTGACTGTATTAATGAAAGGCTGGGTCTAAATTCTGACCTAGCCTAGATGTTTTCAGTCAGAGACAGTCAGTTGAAAACCTGTCTACTAAGGAAGCAAAACTCTGCTAAGGCTGTAGTAATGGAGTACCAGCTGAGGGGAAAATATAATAAAACCTTATGTAAATGAAATGCCTTTGATTTTTGCTTTTTCATTAACATGTAAATACATCTGTGTTTCTAGAAGGCTACACCCTGTCAGCCTAACTGAGATATTGCATTCAAGGCATGCCACTATGTCTGCACAGTGAATTTCTTTTTAGTTCACTACTGGCTCTAGATCCTCTAAGTCCATGTGATTCCCTGCAAGGAAGATAATTGTAGCTCAAGGGCAAGTTCCTTTTTGTATTTAAGATTATTTTTAAAAAAATGTGCATCCTTATGGATGAAATTCTGACATTTTTTCGTAGTATTTATGTCCAGTTGAAACTAATTTTAAGAAAAATATTTATATGTTCTTCAGAGTTTGTTCTTCACAATTCTCAGAAACAACACTAGAAGTGAGGATTTTGAGTGATTCATAGGTTTCATTTGGAAACTAAATAGAAGTTGGTCTCGTGTATGCTACTGTCAGTTGAAATTTGTGTTTGACCATTTTGGGGGATGGAGAAAGGAACAGGATTTGGAGATTTCAGCAGCAAATTGACTCTGTGATATGGACTTCCTCTATAAAGACTCTCCTCGGATCCATGGACAGACACACAGAATCATGAAATAAAGAATTTTGCCTGAGGGATTATTTTCCTGGGTTTTACCACTGAAAGGCAGTACTGGTATCGTGTGCTGCCACAAGGGCCCTAAAAAGTTCAAAGCATTGTGACAGTGTCCACTTGTCTGCAGTCAGCATATGGATACTTGGGGAGTGCAAGTGGGAGGAAACACAAGAGATGCTAAAAACAATGGATGTGAGCTACAGTGTCCTACAGTTGCAAGAGATTATGAATAACAAAGATCTTACGGCAGGAGTATTCTGGCTTCTGTAGAGTTCTGAGTTTTCTTTCTCATGGGAAATAGAAAGCTTTGCCATTTGCAGAGAATATATCTTGCACAAAGACCAGCAAAGGAGGTACTGATCTTAGACTTAGACCTGCATTTCAGGCCTTGTCCCAAGGTCTGTTTGTGCATTTCACATAAACATGAAATGAGAAAGGCATAAACAGTCCTTGGAGTATGGGATGGAAGCCAGACAAATTCCAAGAAATTGAAGATAAAGTGGAGTGCCTGTAGAACCTGCAGAATCTGGGAGTATCTTCTCAAAATTTTGTGTACAGGCAACTGCATTCTGCCCACTCTGTCAGACTGGCTGCCCAGTCAGACTGCAGGGAGCCTTAGATAATGACAAGGATGCCATGGGGCTCCAGCCCTGCTCTCAGCATACCCAAAGGGAATGGAAACAGAAGTTATGGAAACAGAAGCAGGAAGCTATGCTGTCCAGCATTTGGAGTGTTCATTTGGAGTGTAATGGCTGCCAAACATATAAATCACTAACACTACGACATAAACTAACTAATCACTAACACTACGACACTACGACTAAAGTGTTCCTGTAGTGTAGAAACATTTTTAGACCCACAAAGTCTTTTCAAGTTTATTAAGGTACTCATGGAAACTGAAAGTTCTCTGCCCTGGTAGGTTCCCCAGAGGGATCTATACAGAAACCACATCAGACCAAGATATTTTCCTGCTCTAAACAGCTTTATTTCCCGTAAACACTTAATGCACATCTTGATTTGAAAGTTACATAAGCTTACCTGCATTTCAAAGTTTTATAACCCTGTCTTTCAGAAATCAAGTCAAAATTTGGAGCTCTAGAAGGTCAAAATGACATTTGAAATAGTTATGAAAAATTCTTATTGATAAATCTGATTTTTTTTTCAAGCCAACCCTGGGATTATTTGGAGGTGACTCATCCTTTCTGAACCCCAGACTGACAAAATAAAAATGGGAAGGATAGAAAATAAGTGGTACATAGGAGCTAGAAACAGATAATTACCATTGGAAATGGGCTAACCCAAACAACTAAAATTAGAGTAAAATAGTAAAGGAGGAACAAATTAAATCTAACTGAATTTCCAATACTGCAGTCTGAATTTAGAATACATACTAAAAAAAAATTACAGTTGTTGATTTTTGTTGTGCTAACAGCTACCTCTGCTGGCCTAATTCCTTGTATGCATTTAATATTTGGATTTTTTTTTTCTTTTAACACTACATGTACCCAAAATCTAAATCACTTCTCAGCACATCGAATATCTCATCATACTTCAACACTCATCTGGCTACTGGAAACTAATAACTAATGGTTTGTTTGTTATTCTGAGATGTGCATTTTGCACCCATGCAGTATGATATTCTATTTATTTTCATCTTTAAGGCTGAAGATGGGTCAGTAGGAAAGTGCACAAGGTGCAAGGGTAGGGCTTGAGAAACAAAACATTGCTGTCTTAATTTCTCTTTGATTAACTTTTCCTTGTTTTTCAGCCCATTTATCTTTTTTTTCAGCACATAATCGGGATTAATGAAAATATTTCAAGAATGAAAATGCTGTGAAGTCAACTATGTAGGTGTAATATCGGAAAGTGTTTTATTTCAACTTTAGGGATCACCAGTTGTGTTTTCTATTTGCAGTGTCCTTTTGGGGCCATGATAAAAATGGTCTGTCCCAGAGGGTGTTTCTGGTTCTGCATTTTTGTTTCCCAGTGCAGATTACCTGTTCCCACGGCTGTCAAATTGCCTGCCTTTGGTGCCATCCGCGAATATCCACAACGGGGCGGGAATGCTAAGGGTTCCCTGTCATTTTCTGATGCGTTTCCTGTGATGCACTGTGGTAAAAAAAAAAAAGAAGAAAAAAAAGAGCAAGTTTCTCTCCGCACCGCTGGATGTCACTGCTACCCAGCCAAAGTGCAGGTGAGCGGTGAACCCGAGGGGTTTTCTGCAGTAGGAGATCTGCTTAACAGGTTCCAGGAACAGACCACTGTAGGGTCCGATGCTGCTGGAGGAAAGCTGTTGGAAAAGACATCTATTCCTGCCATCTTTTTCACCTGTATGGACGTTTTCCTTTTAAGAAGAAGAGATTTGGAAGAAGGATCGACTGCACTGACTGACACAGTCCGTGGTATATAGATATTTCTAATTGGAGGGAATAAATTATTAGCAGACTCACTGTAATACTTAGAAAATTGACCCTATTGCTCTTTTGTGGTACTGATTTCGGCTCCTGCACGGGCTGTCTGGGGCAGATCGAGGGGACCGGAGCAGAGAGGTGCGACAGTCTCTGGGGAAATGCTGTGGGACTGAGGACAAATCTAAATCACTGATTCAGCCTGATCCCCTCGAATTTTATTTGGTATCTGACCAGTTCCATCCTAGTTTATTACTCTTCTAGTTGTTCTCAAATGTGTTATAAAGGCTTTCCCTAAAATATTTCTGCTTTCTCATTTAGATCCAGATACTGATTTCTTTGTATTTGAAGTTGCTTAAGGTCTCTCAGTAGCTTCTGTGGGCTTTGTTTCCTTGCACATCCCTCTCTCTTAACCTCATAATTATCAAAACCACATGACAATTCCAACTCTAACTCTGGTTTCCAGATGCCTCCCTCCATAAATAGATTTTTTTTTTTTTTTACACTAAAATATGGTATTTGGTGATAATGTTGAACATACACAGTGGTAAACAGTTCTGGTCAGACCATTTTCCACCAGCTACTCCTCATGATGATTTCATTAATTTTAGAAAACGTTTTGCAGGAGTCAGAGGAAACCAGTATTGACAAACCATACATTGGCCTGTACACGTTAACTTAAAAAATCAGATTTCCTATTTCCATTCCTGCCAGATTATTACACCTCTTACTACTGAAGTGTCTGTCTTTTAAAAGTGTTCCAATTTGCCCTAGCACTTAGTTAATGGTTTCTGTGATGGATGAGATTTTTACTCCAATTTTCTTGGCAACACAGTGAAGCACTGTGCGGAGATAATGACAAAGGCAAATAAATGGGGCACAGAGAGGCTGTTCAAACCAGCTCCATGCTAACAGTGAACACAGTCAATTCAACTATGCTGTGAACTGCTAACACTAACCATTTTACAAATGGCAAATTGCAAGAGAACCTTATTTTATCGACAAATGCCCTACCTAATTCCACAGTCCTTATATCCTAAAGCTGCTGAATTTCCCTGAAATTTCCCATTTTCCCTGTTGAATTTTAGCAGTTACTATTACACCATCTTCCTGTCTCTTACAGAATTGGCATACTAGATCTTTCTGCCTTGGCTCTGGAACTCCTGAAGATGTGACTCAACACTCTGAGATTACTTGAGTACTTCTGAGATGGAGAAAGGATCTCTTCTAGTTCTTCTTACCGTATGAAAATCCAGTGATCTTTCTCAGCTCCCCTTCCCCTCTTAGATTCTGCTCAAAATTCCAGTAGTTCTTCTACCATCTCCTGTCAGCTTTAACACTCAGTTCAATTTTGCTTTGGTTTCTAAGAAGTCTTGAGCAAGCTTGGGGGAGGCTGCCAAATACTCTCCCTCCCTTTAAAAAAATAATAAGCAAAAACCCAAACCCCCCCCATTTATTTAAATAACTGCATGTGGGAAATGAGAAAGAATCTTGATCATGTGAGCGGCAAGTGGGTGACACACTGGTGTGTATCTGCTTTCTCAGACATCAGAAGAGCATGGGCGAGGGGAACTCTGCATTTACTATTAATTCCAGCACGCTTTTATAGTTGTCAGCTTTGATGAGTGGAGAATTAGCACACTAGAGAAGTGCTAAGCTCACACCATTTGATTGCTCAACAGTTCCTTTCACTTCAGTGCGATTGCTGTTCCTTGGTGAACGGGTTTTTTTTCTTGATCCGGGGGGAATAAGGAATTCCTCAAAGTCCAAGGAGCTGGTGAAGAAAATGTAGACAATGTAAGGCAGCCTGTACGAGCACGTGTGGTGCTGCATTACCTCCCTTGGCCTTTCCTTCCTGCACACCAATGTATTTTCATAGTACCGGAGACATTAGTTTTGCTTTCTACATGAGGAAGGGAATGAAGGTGACAGAAATGTTTCCTTGTGTCAAGAGAGATCACAAGGTGTGGAAGGGGAACAGAAGGAAAGCGTGAAGGTTGGGAGCCGAGCGAGACGGCAGGGGAGCATTTCCCACCTGCCAGGCGGTGGCTGCCTCAGCTGGGAGCTATCACTCGCTAACTACACGGGTTAAACAGCTCAGCTCCCCCTTCCCCTCCCTCCTCTCTTCTCAGCGTCTTTCCCGAGAGGTGTAAAAGCTCTGGGACGCCTGAAGACTCGAAATACTCTTCGGGGCCATTTTATTTCATGTCTTTCCTTCGCCTTCCGGCTCTCCAGGTAGGCTCGACCGTGCGTTCAGTACCACTCAGCGTGTCCCTGACACGCCGGCTCCTGTTCGGGAGCCCTGCGGGGCTGAGGCGCGGCTGAGGGGCGCTGAGGGCTGTGCCGCGCTCCGCAGCCGGGCCGGGCTGGGCTGAGCCCCGTCCGCAGGGCCGGCCCGGGGGACGCGGCCTCGCCGGCCACGGAAC